ACTTAAACCAAGACTTAGACCAAAACTAAGACTAAAACTATGACTGATACTAAGATTAAGACTAAGACTAAAACTAAAACTAAGACTAAAACTAAGACTAAGACCAAAACTAGACTCAAACTAAGACTAAAACTAAGATTAAGACTAAGACTAAAACTAAAACTAAGACTAAGACTAAAACTAAGACTAAAACTAAGACTAAAACTAAGACTAAGACTAGAACTAAGACTAAAACTAAGACTAAAACTAAGACTAAAACTAAGACTAAAACTAAGACTAAAACTAAGACTAAAACTAAAACTAAGACTAAAACTAAGAACTAAGACTAAAACTAAGACTAAAACTAAGACTAAAACTAAGACTAAAACTAAGACTAAAACTAAGAATAAAACTAAGACTAAAACTAAGAATAAAACTAAGACTAAAACTAAGACTAAAACTAAGACTAAAACTAAGACTAAAACTAAGACTAAGATTAAAACTAAAACTAAGACTAAGATTAAAACTAAAACTGAAACTAAGATTAAAACTAAAACTAAGTGTAAGATTAAAACTAAAACTAAGACCAAGACTAAGACTAAGCTAAGACTAAAACTAAGACTAAAACTAAGACTAAGGCTAAAAGTAAGACAAAGACTACGACTAAGACTAAAATAGAAAGTGTGAGCAGCATGACCAGTTTCCTGGTAAACAAATTCTTTCACGTTAGAGCCCGGGATTTTACGTGCCAATTATTTCTATCATCTGTATTTCACGTGTATCCCCTCAGATGCACCGCTCTTAAACTATCTGCAGTCATTTTTTTTTCCAGTATGAGAATGGAGCTGAGGGCAGGAACGGCAGCTTTCCGATGGCTGCAGAGCAGAACAGGCCAATGTGTGGTAATTGTAATACTTTTAGAGCCACGAATCCATGTCAGTACCAGTATCATTCATGCCCTACGTACACACACCCTTACATCGCAGTAGAGGCCGACCTCCATATCATCTAGCATTCCCCATAATGTAGCCAAGACATAATGGCTGCCTCTTTCGAAAGAATAAAAATTATGAGTCAAACACCGTTTTTTATCATCTTTATATATTAACATAATTAATTGTGTGAAACATTAAGTAACAAAAGAGTTGTAACACCTAATGCATTTACTAAATAGACTTTATTATATTTTTAAAAAATACATACAGTTGAAAATATGCTACATAATACATGAGTTAGGAAGTCATATTAGGTGTTTTAAATATAAGTTATTTACACAATAGTAACAAACATTGTGACAATACAGTAATTAACCGAAGAGATACAGCACAATATACAGAAATCGTTTACTGCAAATCATTAAACAGAAAAGGACACTCGTAGAAATATGTTTAAAATCTAATGTTTTAAATGTTTTAAAAAGATTTTAATGACGTGTCGCCTCTACAATGAAGGTTGGCTACCGAGTACCATTGCTGCCCGTGTGTATATTGCGTGTTAAAGCTCCCGTCTTCTTACAAGATCGACTCTCGTTCCACTGTTAAAAAACCATGAGAACTGTCAGATGCCAGAATCGAACCCTAGTACTTCAGAATCATGAAATTGTTAAACTCGTTCACTAATCTCTCAGCCACAGATGTGCACTTGTTATGTAATAAATTAAGTGGGACCCACAATGAAGCTTTAATGGAGGTCTTTTTACACAAATAGAAATTGGTGCCTTTTATACTTAAATGAACAGGTATCGAAACCAACGAAATGTGGAACCAGTCAGCTTAACATTATCACAAAAACAACGACAAGTGAACTTTGCGGCTATACCGCCTTCACCAGTACATCGTGAATATACAATACAATCAATAGAGGCAGGAATAACACCCCTACCTCCTATCCCCCACCCTCCACCCCACCTCCTAAAAAAACATAATTGAAACAACTCTGAGAGAAAATGCATATATGTCTGGCCAGTTAAATGAAAAAAAATTTTAAAAAAAAGCTAGAAAAAAAAAAGAAACATGTGAACGGCAAGGGCCGTAACTCAAAATTGTTACAATAATAAATGAATCGAAAAATCAAGAATTTACCTCCATGCACTCAGACATTCCGACACATGCTCCGCCTCCTTCTTCAGTAGCCAACTGAAGATTCGATGTGCTAACTGTACTAGCTGCAACCTGATTGGAAGTTCGCCTATGTTTTCCTCTCAATTTTTCACCATCTTCCACATCCTCAGCTCACCCCCGCCCCCCCCCCCCCCCCCCCCCCCCTTGCTGAATTAGTCTATTAATGTATGGATGCTCGGGCTGTTTTGCTGCACCATCCCCTTGATCCTAGAAAGCCTTTAACTACATCCGCTTTTTCATAACGTAGCTCGCCTCCCAGAGGAGCCGCAGCAGCCAATCTATCAGTCTACTCATTACCCTGTCCACCCGAATTTCCTCGACCAAAAAATCCATGATGTGCTACTGATCTGAGTCTTATCAAGTGATGCAAGCAACACCACGCGTAGGACACCAGTGACAGC